GAAGCAACTGCCATGTGATTGGTTGATTAGATAATTGCATTAATGAGAAATTGAACAGGTGTTCCTAATAATCCTTTAGGTGAGTGTATATGCGTGTGTGTGTGTGTGTGTAATGGGGAGCCCCAGAAAGACATAATTACAAACCTGTGTATGTGTATTCCATCACAGTAACTAATTCAGTTACTGCAAGGATCCTGCAATGGAGAATATGTCTTTTATTTGGTCTTGAGGGAAGCAAACAACTTAATTATCCACCAAGAGTAATAAACCAACCCATTATCAATATACTGTATGTAAGGAAATAACTCTAAACATTATAACAAATATTGGATTTCAGTGAATTCATTACATAAATTATCTATATAGTAAAGATATAAGTGCACGAGTAATGTCTATTTTCTAAACCAACCTTAAGTTTTTAGAATCAAATGAGCCAAATTACACAAGTTTGTACTGCAATCAGAAAACCATCTGTTTTCTTCCCGTGGAAGTTACTGTTTAAATAATAGAGGATGGTGTAAAATATTCCATAAAAGGAAAGAGGGGAAGGGAGAGCAATATATATATGTGATCCCGTTTTTAGAGTCCTTCAGCATTCCGGTGCAGACTATCCCACCATGAAGTACTACGTTCTTCTCACACTGTTAGCAACTGCATGTAAGCAGGGCTCAGAAAACGTCTGGCATGAAAAGCATAGATTTTGTTCTTTTTGTTATTTTTTTTTCTAAAATATGTCAAAGAAATACTTTCTGAAGATTTCTGAATTCATGATTTGCTTTCTGGCAATAATATTCCAGCCATTTTCTATTTTCTGCTTTTGAGTTGTCTGAACTACATCTTTCAATCTTTCTTCCACTGTTTTTCACAGTTGCTGCCCCGTTGGAGGATGATGATGACAAGATTGTCGGAGGGTATGTGTGCAAAAAGAATTCTGTGCCGTACCAGGTATCTCTGAACATCGGCTACCATTTCTGTGGAGGATCCCTGATCACCAGCCAATGGGTTGTTTCTGCAGCTCACTGCTACCAGTCGTAAGTTGTGAATCATTGCTAGCATCCATTGAAGCATTCAGATTAGTTAATCTTAATGATTAATAGGGTATTGTTGTGGTTTCAAATGAACTTGTATGCCCTTTCCTTTGGATTTTCCAAGTAGTATGTGTTTAAATAAATAGATACAAGTCCTTTATTGTATGGTAATATATGCATGGTATATGTGTAGTATATCTGGATTAATGTTTCCATAACAGGATAAACAATTGTTGCTAATGGATGTATCATTATTGAAATTCTAAAATGTGTAGGTACAGAATTATTCATGTGATAACCTGAAGAGCTATTAATTGTGTAATTAAGTGTATAGTTATTGTGAACAACCACAAAATGACTGTCATTCCAGCCGCATTGAGGTGCGCCTTGGCGAACACGACATCGCAGTCAACGAGGGCAATGAGCAGTTCATCAGCTCTCAGAAGATCATCAGAAACCCGAATTACAGCAGCTCTACTCTGAATAATGACATTATGCTGATCAAGCTGAGCAAACCTGCCACTCTGACCAGCTACGTGAAGACCGTGGCCCTGCCCAGCAGCTGTGCTCCTGCTGGCACCATGTGCCTCATCTCCGGCTGGGGAAACACCCTGAGCAGCGGCTGTGAGTAACAGCACAGGCTCTGTCTGGGAGCATGAGTCAGAGATCTATATTGCTCTCTTGTTTCATGGCATTCTGTCATCGTAATTGTTGAACAGCAAAAAGAATCAGAATCAGAATCAACTTAATTTTCTATATAGAGCCTGAGTACAAGGAACTTGTTATGATGTAATTGGTCACATTAAAGTACAATGAAGTAAATTACAAAAATAACATAACATGGAATATTAATGCAAAGAACTAGCCAACCAGCAACATAGATTATATACAAGTATATTTAGGCATAATACCAAAAATATCTTATCAATGCTCGACTGGAAAAGCTTTACGACATTATTCACTCTATTTCCATGCTTCCCTCTCTAGCAAACTACCCCGATACTCTGAGGTGCCTGGATGCTCCCATCCTTAGTGACACCAGCTGCAAAAATGCCTATCCTGGTCAAATCACTACCAACATGTTCTGTGCCGGCTACCTGGAGGGAGGCAAGGACTCCTGCCAGGTAACAAGCACTTAGTTTCTCATATTTGCACAATAGCATGCATTATTACTGGTATTTATAGTGAATTAGTAGTCTCCTACAACATCAATAACATTTGAAACAACAGTAAAATTGAAATAGTAACAAACTGGATGGCACTTTTTTCCTCCACTTATATCTTTCCCTTACCCCTTCACTGCCAGGGTGACTCCGGCGGGCCTGTGGTATGCAACGGCCAGCTCCAGGGCATAGTGTCTTGGGGATATGGCTGTGCTCAGAAGAACAAACCTGGTGTCTACACCAAAGTCTGCAACTACAACAGCTGGATTCAAAATACTATTGCATCCAACTAAACCAACCATCTGCTTTCCTAGACTGACAGCAAAGATATGGAAAAGCTAACAAGTTACATGGCAAAGAATGCCATGATTTTAATAGCAACCTCACTATGGGAACAGTGTAGTTTTCACAAATAAAGAGGTCTGTAGTTATGCTGTACCTGCTGTTTTTATATTATTTCAAGACCATGATGAATGTTTTGGCACTGACAATTTTGTGAAATACATCCATTGCAGGGGCACTGGCAATTGACAGGGGCCCTTGAATATGTAAAATAATATGTAAAATTGGATCAGGGCCCAATGTTTTGTCAGGTGTCCCCAATTTTCTATGTGCACCCCTGTAGGAGGTATCTGGGATCTAGGCAGCATAGGTACAATGGGCTATTTAGATAAACCAGACCACCTAGTCCACTAATCAGAATCTTTATTGCCACACAACCAAGGTTGGTGAAAATTTGTACATTTGTACTCGGGCTGTATGTGTATTTCACTCATTTGGAGGGAGATACTGGAGTACCCAGGGGAAAGCAACAAAACGTAGGGACAACATGCATACCCTGCACACATAAACTGGTGCTGAGATCCAAATATCAGCCCTGAGGGCAGAAAGCCACACATTGGGTCACCACGTCACCCCAACATTTTTAAGAGGCACAATGTCACAGTAGGCCTGCGGTCATAGTGGAGTACCACAGGGTTCAATTTTAGGACCACTATTGTTCCTAATTTACATAAATGATATAGACACCAATATACACTCACCTAAAGGATTATTAGGAACACCATACTAATACGGTGTTTGACCCCCTTTCGCCTTCAGAACTGTCTTAATTCTACGTGGCATTGATTCAACAAGGTGCTGAAAGCATTCTTTAGAAATGTTGGCCCATATTGATAGGATAGCATCTTGCAGTTG